CATGAGACAAAGTATATGTGAACTGCTGTATGGAAAGTGAATTTGCTCTGTAAATCTTCATCCAAATCAGAATTTAAAAAAAAAATTGAAATGGGCTAGTGGGAAGAACTGTTCATTGTTATGGACCTCTTGACAGCATAGATAAGATTACAAAAGGGAAAAGAGATAAAGGGGGGCATTCATGTGACATGTCCAGTTTGACTTGGTATGAGGAAGATTTTGGAGGAACGAGGCAAGAGCAGGTAGTGGGAAGATATGGAAGATTTTTGAGCTAGGGCATAATTCAAGCAGAGCTACTTTTACGAAAGTTAATCTGGTAGCAGTATAGGAGTGGATGTAAATAGAATGCAGAGGATCATTTATAAGAATAAGTCTCTAGTCTAAGTTTGGTTTATGTGGGGAGACGGTAGAAAACAGTTTCGATCATAAATAGTGTTAGGAACAACATATCTTTGCAGTGTGGTTAAAGGCAATATATATGAGTACACAGGGGATAATCATTCAGGTATTCAAAATACAACTAGAAAGCTAGCCTCAGACAGTGTGCAGAGATTAAGATACACATGCTACTATAGATGCAGTAAGATACAGGCCATAAGATTGAGTTCATATAAGACTAAGGTTCATCGAGATACATACTTGGACATCGAGTAAACAAACAGGGAGCAAAACCAGATCTAAAGCTCAACTATAGCAAGGTTGGCTTGATGTTCCCTTAGTGGGCACTGGGCTAGAGATCCTTACCCTTCAAGAATGGATTATTTTCTGCTTTGAATTTTTTAATTGAAACCATGTGTTTTCAGTAATGGAAGGAATTTTGAATGAAATGAAAAAAGTTTTTGAGGGAATATGGATTTTGATACAATTAGTAGCACTGATACATCCCAGTGGGTCTCTGGTGAAGAGAGGTGGGGGATAAGACTTGTTTCTTCAAATTCACACCACTAGGGCCCCCACCAGATTCTTGTATGTTGAAGAAATTCCTACATGTCTAATGGATTTGTTTTAAATCATTTTTTAAAAATTCCTATGCTCTAATTCTCATATTGTTAAATGGAATTTAAACTTTCTGTCATTTTTAGACTTTTATACTTCCATGTGTTGACAGACTTCCTTACAGTTTTCCAGCTAGAGTTGATTGAGAAGTTGTTATAGAATCTTAAAATTTTTGACACATGTAATATTCACAATTGCTTTGTGGGCATGAGGTCTCAGGACCATAGGCTTAGGGGACACTGAGCTCAGTTGGCATAACATAGTCCACAAAGACAATGTTCTCCATCCTTCTTTGGTGCATAGTGACTGGAGTCTTAAAAGCTTGTGAGTTGCCATGTAAGGTGCAGCTAATGGTCTCTCCCTGTCTGGAGCAAAGAAGAATGAAGAAAATCAAAGACACAAGGAAACAATTAATCCAATGGACTAATGGACCATGTGAACCCCTGCCTCCACAACTGAGACCAACTACTACTCCTGACCACTCTAGAAGGGATTTCAGTAGGGGGTCTTCAGTGGAATGGGAGAAAAATAAAGAACAAAACAAAATCATTCAAAAATTTTTTTTAATTAAAAAAGACCAGGCTTACTGGTGTAATGAAGACTGGCAGAACCTCGAGACTGTGGCTCTTAGATATCCTTCAAGCTGGGAACTGAACCCTATCCCTTGTTCTCCTAGGGTTCAACTTTTAGCCAAAAGATAAGCCTAAAAAAAAAATTGCCATGTGGTTCTAAATTTGAAGGTTACAAGAATCTGGATATACGCACAATTTAACGTTTTGTTCTTTCAGACATCAGGAAATCAAATCCATTCAGAAGAGTTTGAAGTTGATCTAAATGATGAAAATGCTACCACTGGTATGGCCCCAAATGGATGGAAACCTCGCATATTTAGGAGTTCTACTCATAAAAGCCTTAGAAATTCACGAATGCATCAGAATAGTCTTAATGTAGAAACCAATGAACTTGTGAGTTGTGTTTCACTTAAAATCAATCTTTTACTTTTTAGTTTTGATGTTGAAATTCTTAACCTTTTTCAGGTTTAGATCATTCCTACTCTGAGCCATGCTGTTGTTATTAGGTGCTGTTGAGTTGGTTCCAACTCATACCAACCCTACATACAACAGAACAAAACACTGCCAGTCCTGTGCCATCCCAATCGTTGCTATGCGAACCCATTGTTGAACCCATTGCTGCAACCACTGTGTCAATCCATTTGTTTATGGCTTCCTCTTTTTTTTGCTGACCCTTTACCAAGCATGATATCCTTTTCCAAGGACTGGTCCCTCCTGATCACACATCCAAAGTACATGAAAAGAGGTTTTGTCATCCTTGCTTCATAGGAACATTCTGGATATTCTTCTTCCAAGATATATTTTTTCATTCTCCTGGCAGTGCATGGTATATTTAATATTCTTCACAAACACAATAATTCAAAAGCATAAGTTCTTTGATCTTCCTTATTCATTATCCAGCTTTAATGTCCATATACCAAACCAAACCAAACACACTGCCGTGGAGTCAAACCTGACTCATAGTGATACTGCCTCAGAAACCCAAGGAGGCTTGGGTTTCTGAGGCAGTATCACTATGGAAGTAGATTGCCCAACCATCCTTCTGAGGAGTGGCTGGTGGGTTTGAACTGCCAGCCTTCTGGTTAGCAGTCAAATACCTTAGGCACATATAAGGTGACTAAAAATAGAATGGCATAGAACAGGCACATATTAGTTCTCAAAGTAACATCTTTGCTTTTTAACACAACCTTGCTTGCTGAAAGTGAAGAGAACTTGAAGCACTTACTAATGAAGATCAAAGACTGCAGCCTTCAGTGTGGATTATACATAAACATAAAGAAAACAGAAATCCTTACAACTGGAAGAATAAGCAACATCATGATAAACAGAATATATTGAAGTTGTCAAAGATTTTGTTTTACTTGGATCCCATGAAGGCAGCAGTCAGGAAATCAAATGACATACTGCATATGGCAAATTTGCTGCAAAAGACCTTTTTAAAGTGTTAAAAAGTAAAGATGTCACTTTGATGAATAAGGTGGACCTGACTATGAGCCATAGTCTTCTTAAAAAAAGGAAATTGCACATTTTAAATGTTTTTGATAGTGAAATCAAGTCCATTCCAATTAAAAATGGATTTCTAATGGAAAAAAAAGAGATCCAAATATGTTGTCTTTATGGCTTAGGTGCTTAATATCAAGATTAATATTCCATTCATCTTTGAGGTTCAGAGAGAAATAAGGCTAGTTAAAAATAACAGACCCTGATAGTCACCTCCTCACTTAAGTAGGACTACTTATGTTTGCCTATATCAAGAGACTCAGAATAACATCAATTTAAGCACATTAATAATTTCTGCTTCTATTTCACATAAAAGAATCTAAGAGGTGAGAAACCCAGAGGTAGAATGTTGGTTCTATAATTAGGATGGGCCACTTTCAATTAGATTAGAATTCTTTTACTAAGAAATGGGGGATCATGGCCAGGAAAAGCAAAATTATGTATTCTTTAACATTTCTCATGTGATGATGGGATATTATTAATTCAAGTTGGCAAAATAATTTATAATAGAATTGGAATTCATTCCAAGACATTTCCTTATTTCAAGAAATGGTTTTAGAATACATGTTGATGTTACTTGTTAATAAAGACTCACTTTATTTTTATTCTGTATTAGCCTGGAAAAAATAATCCTGCCAAGAGTTTATTTCATCTGTTTTTCTCTTCCTAGAATATTAAAGTCATTTTACATAAAAAATTATAAGGGCTCTCTTAGAGGTATTAATCTTGCTATATTTGTGGGAAGCAGAATAACAATTATACTATTATGGAACTATATCACCATAAGTAAAATAAACAATTTTCCCTATTCTGGCTGTAAAATTGTCCACTTTACATTTCCTCATTTATTTTGAGGGTTACTCTGCTAAATTTTTAGTGCCCAGTATTTTAGAGGAGATCACTAAGAGGTGGAGGCAGAAAATAACACAGTGAACAAGATTGACGTAAGTACTGTCATAGAGGAGGATGGGAAATTAAAAGGAAAGAGAAATTAAGTCTGACTAGAGGACCAGAAGGGAGCTCTGGTAGCATAGTGCCTAAGGCACTTGACTGCTAATCAGAAGGCTGGCGGTTCAAACCCACCAGCCACTCCTTGGAAGGAAGATGGGGCAATCTACTTCCATAGTGATACTGCCTCAGAAACCCAAGGAGGGGTTGCTATGAGTTGGGTCTGACTCGACGGCACATAACAACAACAACAACAGAAGACCAGAAAGGAGCCCTAGTGGCACAGTGTTTAAACACGCTGCTCCAAACTAAAAGATCGGCAGTTCAACTCACCAACTGCTCCATGGAAGAAAGATGTGGCAGTTTACTTCCATAAAGATTACAGCCTTAGAAACCATATGAGGCAGTTCTACTCTGTTCCATAAGTCACTATGAGTCAAAATTGACTCAATGGCAATGGATTTAGTTTCTTGGTTTTAGAGGGACTGGGAAGGTCTGTCTGTTCATATGTGTTGAAGGGCAGCAATCTGGAAAAAGGCTTATTTCATCAGAAGATAATGTTTATCTGAAAGGGGGGACTAAAATACAGAGAAAATGAATGGTTTGAAGGAAGAGCCCTGAGTAAAACCTATTATTACTTTCTCTATTTCATAGAGACACAAATAAAATCTATTTAAAAGATCTGAAGGAAGGGGATTTGACAGGTACCTTTTGTGTCTAGTTTAATGCTTCTATAATAAGAATGTTCTTTATGTCACCTAAATTTGTCATGCTCTACCAGACATTTAATTTAACATTTGCTGAGATGCTGATATATGCCAGGCATTGGGCTAGTTTCTAGGGATATGGAGACATAGTTCTCACCTTTAAAGAGGTCACACATTTGAAAAGGAGATGGAAGAAAAAAAAAAAAAAAGCTAAGATACAAAAAAAGGGAAGTCTGCACAAAGAACAGTGGTAGAACAAACTCAAAAAAATCTTCCTTCCACAGAGTGGCTGGTGGGTTTGAACCACCAACCTTCTAGATAGTAGTCAGATGCCTTAAGCTCTGTGCCACCAGAGCTCCTTGGCAGAACAAAAGGGGGGGGGGGTGATTAACTTGGTTTTGAGAGTTTAGGACATGTCACAGAAAAGGCAGTGGTGGGCAGAGTTCTGGGTGAGAAGACCAGGCCCAAGTTCTTTGGTTAATAATGGTCTACTACATTCATAAGGGTATTTATCCAGTTATTTATGTACATTCTCTCCTTTGATACTGACACCATCCTTGTTAGAGACAGGATTAGATCATTAGATGTGAGAAAAGTACAGCTAAACTCATGTAACTTAGGTATGACTAACACACACTTGTGTAAGTACAGAGCTGGGAACATAGTCCCAGGACTCTGTACTTGAATTCTAGGGCATTTTGTGCCCAGATCTTGCAAACTTTCAGTCTACTGAGGCTAGAATAGAGACAGGCTGATCATACCATGAAGATTGTTTCTTGGGTGAACAGTTCATACTCAGCTCATACTGTGCAATCAGTGGGCATCTGTTAGCATTTCATAACATGCTGTCTTCTAGTAGAGGAGTTCTCACTGGGCTGCTAACCAAAAGCTCAGCAGTTCAAACCCACCAGCCTCTCTGAAGGAGAAAGATGAGGTAGTCTGCTTCCATAGAGATTTACAGCCTTGTAAACACTATAAGGGAGCTCTGGTAGCATAGTGCCTAAGGCATTTGACTGCTAACCAGAAGACTGGCAGTTCAAACCCACCAGCCATTCCTCGGAAGGAAGGTTGGGCAATCTACTTCCGTGGTGATACCACCTCAGAAACCCAAGGAGGGGTCGATATGAGTCAGGTCCAACTCGACAGCACATAACAACAACAACAAACCCTATGAGGCATTTCTACTCTGCCCTATAGGGTCACCATGAGCTGAAATCAACTCAAGGGTAGTGGGTTTGGTGGGTTTTTTTTTTTTTTTTTTTTTGTCCTCTAGTAGTTTGTTACAGACAGCTCATTCTCTGTACCTAGTTTGCCAGGTCCCTGAGGGCAGTAGCCATGCCTTTTCTATATGTATAAATTCTGGTAATTTTTGTGTTACACAAGTTTGTCCTGATATTTATATGTTTTAGGATGCAAATGTGCCACAAGTATCTTTCCTGAAGGTTCTGAAACTGAATAAAACAGAATGGCCCTACTTTGTGGTGGGAACTATATGTGCTATTGCCAATGGGGCACTTCAGCCAACATTTTCAATCATTTTCTCAGAGATGATAGCGGTAAGTTTGGAAAGAAACAGCATGTATCTGCTTCATTTGAATCAGCTCATCAGTTCCTCAACCCAGTCTCACCAGGTGGATCCATTCTATGATTTATTCCCAAGAAGGACAAAATACCTTCAACATAAATAACTCCCGAGTCCCTAATTACCTCCTGAGGAAAGCTGTGAGGGAAAAGAAAGCCATTCCACATTAAAAACTCAAAAAAAAAAGGAGCTCTGATGGTGTGGTGCCTAAGGCATTTGACTGCTAACCAGAAGTCTGGTGATTCAAACCCACCAGCCACTTCTCCTTGGAAGGAAGACTGGACAATCTACTTCCATAGAGATACTGCCTCGGAAACCCAAAGAGGGGCCACTTTAAATCACATTAGACTTGATGGCAGTGACTACCTTCTGAGGAAAGCTATGAGGGAAAATAAAGCCATTCTATGTTATACTAGTATAATTATATAATATAAAAAGCAAGGAAGACAGTACTCTCATTAGCAACTTTCTGCATTTTGGTGAAACTGGTGTCAGGCAATGATTCCTTCTCTGTGTGTTGAGAGGAGCTAACACATGTCTCACAAGAAAGTGGAGATAAGGTAGAAGAGAAGAGTTAAGGTCATAGTGTTTAAGAGTCCAGACTCTGGCAGCATACAGCCACTTAATGGCTGTGCAAATTGGGCAAGGTGCTTTCCCTCTCTGTACCTCTGATTTTTCATCTATAAAATCCTCATAGGATTACTGAGAATTAAATGAGATTATATAAGTGTCTATATGGAGAGTAGAGTCCCTAGGTAGTGAAAGGGTTAAGCACTCAACGGCTAACTGAAATGTTGCCAGTTTGAACCCACACAGAAGTGCCTCGGAAGTCAGGCCTGGTGATCTACTTCCGCAAGGTCACAGTCTTGGAAACTGTATGAAGTGCAGTTCTACTCTACAACACATGGAGTGGTCACAAGTTGGAAGCAACTCAGTGGCAACTTGTTTGGTTTTTTGAATGGAAAGCCTTTACGTTAGTTAGCTCTGTAATAAGTATTCTAGTAAGCCTTGTAATAAGTACTCAAAAAGTAAGGAATAGTCATTGCATTACTATTTCAATAACCTTTCCAAGGCTTGGACAACTTAAGATTAAGAAAGATAATTCCTATTATCCAATTATTAAATTCATGGGGGAATATTTATAGAAAGGTATCAGTAATATCTTTGATTCCACAAAACCCAGTGTTTATATTGTATAATTATATAGCCACCTTAGTCAACCTTTCCATTATCAGAGACATTTTTGTTAATGATGAGTTATTGTCCATCATATTATGAGTCTGTTATTTTTGTGACAATGAACATTGCTCTACAATTAAAACTCAAACTAAAGCTCACTACACTTGAGTCGGATCCAACTCATAGCGACCCCTCCTTGGGTTTCTGAGGTGGTATCACTACGGAACTGTATTGTTCAACATTCCTTCTGAGGAGTGTGGTGGGTTTGAACTGCCAGCTTTCTGGATAGCAGTCAAATGCCTTAGGATTAGGCCACCAGAGCTCCCTCCCACTCTATCTAGTATCTCTAATTTCAATCCCTTTCCAAGTGGTTGGCATTGATAGCCAGATACCATCTAATTCTTCTGGTCTCAGGGTCATGTAGGCTGAGGTTCCCATGTTTTAATTACAGAACAAAGTAATCCCCAGCTCTCCTGGAATTCAAGAGCTATGTAGACTATCTTTTGGGGCATCTATGTGTCGAGCACTGCTCTAAGCACCAGAGAAACAGCACTGAACAAAATAAACCATCTTGCCCTCAAATAGCATACTCTTCTACAGGCAGACACATAACATACAAATACATATATATAGATAGATAGATAGATAGATAGATAGTATAGTATTAAGGGATATCCCATGTTCTAAAGAAGGGTAGGGCCAGAAATGGGGTTACTATTTAAAGAAGAATGGTCAGGGGAGACCTCTGTGGACAGAGGCCTGGTGGAGTGAGGGTGGAAGCCTGGGCCATGGCAGGGAGGAGTTCGGGCAGAAGAAACAGCAAGAGCAAAGGAAGAAGAACCAACTTTAAAATGTGCAACTATCTGCAACACTGTGAAATACGCAGGTTCCAACCCATGTTTAAAAAACTGCATACTGTGTCAGAATTGTGCATGTGGAAAGTGTTAAAATAACAAATGTTTGCTACATAATTTATTTACCACAATTTTGAAAAAAGATAAAAACCTCATATTTGTAGCCTAGTTTTTAAAATGTGGTAGTTGGAGGAACAAACAGGATCATGTAATCCAAGTGAGTATTTTAAATGTTCTTTTGTAGATCTTTGGACCAGGGGATGATGAAGTGAAGCAGCAAAAGTGCAACATGTTCTCCTTACTTTTTTTAGGTCTGGGGATTATTTCTTTTTTTACTTTCTTCCTTCAGGTAGGTACTCTTAATTTGTCCTTCTTATGGAATCTATATTCAATTGGAGAACTTAATTAAAACCTAACGGAGCTTCCAAATCATTAGAGTGAAATGAATTGCAAATACCGTTGGCACACAGGCTGTTATAGGGGGTGGCTCCTTAGCAACAGGAATTGTGTGACTTCCCTCTTTGCTAACTAGTTCACCCTCAGCAAACATTCATTACCAATGAAATAGACTTGAATTCATAGGAGAACATAAAAACCAGTTAAACTTGAGTAGGTACAAACTGGAAAAATTCAGTACAATGGCATTCTCTTTTTTGTTTTTACTGTTTACCCAATATCAAATAATTTCTCTATTTTTTCCCCTATTTAATTGACCAACTATTTGAAAGAATATAGATTATTTTGTCTTCAAATATTAAAGAATTGGCCAAAATGAACTAGTGAAACTTGCTCTAAATTATACTTTTCTACCTAACCTTTTACCAGTTTCTTTGGTGTGCAACTCCATTTGCATCACACAGGCCTTTCAAATACAATCTGTTAAATCAGCAAAATAATGTTTCTTAGTCATGCTTGACATGCTTCTCTCTTAGTATTGCTGAACCAATGATAAAAGTAAGCCAAGCTTTTTACGTAGAAACCATTGCCTTGCTATTAGCAACTGAATGATTCAATCCAGCCCCCAGCCCTAGTGTGTTAAAGAGTGAAGCTAGTTTTATGTTTCCAGGGCTGCAGGAACAGTGGGCTGATGCATAGAACTGTGGTGTTCACATTAGCCTAGAGCCATCTGCCAGGAAAGGAAGACAACTGGGGTAAAGTCACCCCAGTCATTAAAGATCATTAAATCATTAAAGATCCTGATTCTGCTGGTTTAGCAAAGAGTTCTGATGTATACACCACATAGCGACTAAACATGCCTATACCAACACTACAGTGGCTCTCACCTATCTTGGAGATTTGGGGTGGTGAGCACAATCAGGCCCAATTCTGGGCATCTGGGCTACTCTCCAGTTTGAACATGGCATAATTAAAAGAAAGGAAATTAGCAAAGAGGCTTGGAAGGAAGAGGAGCCTCATTGCTTCCTGGTCTGGGAGCAGGGAGAGCTGACAGGGAACCAGCAAGCTCATCTGAAGCCTGATAGTACCTGACATCCCTCCTCCCTCTACACTGCATAAGCCAAAATGTTAGTCTGTTTTCAACTGTTTTAACTTCAAGTATTTGGAACACTCTGCCAGTTGTAGTTGAATCCAGTATCTTTTTCATTGAATTCTTATCCTTGAAAGTTTTGAAAAATAACCCTATTTAGAATGGCTTAGAAATCAAAATGACACTTTCAGAGTTCCCTTTGGGTTTATGAGTCTCTTTCATGCTAATGGTATATGGAGCCCTGGTGGCACAGTAATTGAATGTTCAGCTGCTAACTTGAAAGGTTGACAGTTTGAACCCATGAATGGCTCCACAGCCTAGTAAAGCCTGTGGGGCAGTTCTGCTCTGTAATGTAGGGTCACTATGAGTCAGAATTGATTGGACACAGTAACAGCTATTAATAATGGTTTATCAGAGGAGCTCTGGTGGTGCAGTGCCTAAAGCATCTGACTGATAACAAAAAGGTTGGCGGTTCAAACCCACCAGGTTCTCCACAGGAGGAAGATGGGGCAATCTAATTCCATAAAGATTTATCACCTCGGAAACCCAATGGGGGTCACTATGAGTCAGAATCTACTTGATGGCAGTGAGTTGTTTTTTTTTTTTTTTTTTGAATGGTTTACAAGTATATGAATTTTTGGTTGGGACTTTGGAGTAGTAGTTAGTCACAGACTTTGTTATTTGGATAATTGATTATCTGATATATAAATAACTGTAAAATCACTGTGAACACACACACTTTTGTCAGAATACCAGTGATGACCAAAAAGGACAATAATCTTTTTTCTCAACCAGGGTTTCACCTTTGGGAAAGCTGGAGAGATCCTCACCACAAGGCTTCGGTTGATGGCTTTTAAAGCAATGCTAAGACAGGTGGGTATGTGCACTGGAGAATGCTTTCCGTTTTTCAGGTTCCTTTCATTTTAAGCCTCTTTCTGTTCTTATTGATTTGCTATGGTTCACGTTATCTTCCTGGGAGAAGACTGACAAGGGCCTTCCAAATTTTCCTAGTTTTTCAATACCCAGAGACCACTCAAGGTTTTCATAGGAGAAGGCTTAACATAGGTAGCTTCTTTTGGCTTATTCTGCAACTATCTTTGTCCATGTGGATACTGGAACTTCAGAGACTTCTATCTCTTGTCTGGATCTTCCACAGACCCTGGAGAGTCTGTTGAGACACCAGGATGCCTTTAAACAAAGGAAAAGGTGGTTGATAGCATTATGTACCACAACTGACCATAATAATTGTAAGTTTTCCCAGATGTTAGTAATTGTGTTTTGTTCTGTCTTATTTGAGCTCTGTTTTCACATTAATTCATTTAATCATTACTTACTATATATTATACAGTGTGCTGGTAGCTGGACCTGTAAGGTACTATCTGCCCTTTGAGAAAGTTTACAGTCTAGTGCAGAATGTGTGGGAAAATGTGCAGACATGCATTCTCTATTTTCATAGAGAGGGTATAAAAGAGGGTCAGAATATAGTCCATCCAGTTGACAGGGAGTGATTACAATCTTGTTCACAAAAGAGAATATAGAGAGTGTTATATTTTGAGCAAATCTGAGTTTACAGATTTTTTTTCAGGATCTTATAATTGATTTCTATGTAGAGAAAATTATATGAAAAAGATGCTATGGATGAGTAGTATATAATTAAAATTGTACCTAAGGCAGTCTTTTGATCCTATCTTTTAAAAAAAGAAAAAGCATGATGAGAAACCAAAGCTTCTTTCCCCCTGTCTAGAGTTTACAAGAGTGTGTCCAATAAAGCTCCCCTTTCTCTGTGTTTCTTGCTTTATGAGAGGGAACACCATAAAAGAGATGTGTCCATACTACAAGTTGTGATGAGTGGGTAGATGGCATGTCCACATGCCTGTAGCATCAGGCAATACTTGCAGGAAACCAAGATGCAATCTGGTTGAATCCTACTGTCTGCCCAGAACTTGATGTTGTCTCCCATCACAACAGAGCAGCTTGGGAGGCTGGGTTCTGGTGGACTCTGAGGGTGTATGCTCATGGCAGGAACCAGGGTTCTACACTGCATGTGATGTCACCCTTACACTTCAATATACAGGTTAAGTGTGGGTTATTTCCTTAGCATCAAAGCTGTGAGAGGTTTCATTTGCTTTTTGTTGCTTGTTTTAATTTTGAACTAATTTAAAGGTGTATTTTGTGCCTTAGGACATGGGCTGGTTTGATGACCATAAAAACAGTACTGGTGCACTTTCTACAAGACTCGCGTCAGATGCTTCCCAAGTTCAAGGAGTATGTAGACTGCACTCTACTACTATTTCTGTTCAACACAGTTTTGAATAAATAGATGGCACAGCTGTATCAGTTAGGAGGCTTTCAGCTGGAAATAACAGACAACCCAACTCAAACTGACATGAACAATAAGAGAAAGGTTAGACTTCAGGGTTGGTTGATCCAATGGCTCAAAAATGTTATCAAGGACCCACGTTCCTTCTGTCTGTGTGGCTTTGAGTGGCTTTCCGTCCTCAGTCTTGCCTTCATCCTAAGTCTGGTTCCTCTCATGGTCATAGGATAGATACCTGTAGCAGTGAGAGCTATAAGCGTCCTTGTTTCCCATCCTATGAGAGAACATGTACACTTGTATCTTAACCACTGAACCAAAACTCTTCTCTTAAATCCGATTTGGGCTCATTTGGGTCATATGCCTAACCGTGAGCCAGTAACTGTCTCCAAGAGAATGCCATGCTTAGATTCCCTCACCCCTGCAAATGGGATCAGTTTTTCTGAAGCTTACTGCTTCCCCACAGTAGAGGAGAGGGGAGAATTGAGAGTTAACAGCAATGTGCACTACAATAGCCCTTGCTTTCTGAGTGATGTAAACACTAATTATCTCTAAGTTTGCTTTATGGTGGACAGTCTCTAAGGATATGTACACATTATGGTCTTTTAGAGTGTGTAAACTTCCCCCTTATGCCTTTGAAACAGAAGGTCTTTAAAATTACCAGAGTAATTCATTTCCCCTTTAAACATTACCTTCATGAAGAAATGTGTCCCACACCTAGGTACCAAGCAGAGCAGTTATTACTTGGTTACACAATATTGCTGTCATGTAGACAGTAGAGAAATGAGAGTTTAAAGGCAGAATAAAGAAAATCTGCCAGAACATCCCATGAGTTAAGTGTGCCAAGGTTAAAGGCTTATTGTAATGAAAATGAGCAAAGGTTATAGCAGACACAAAACTCTCTTGTAATTCTGACCAAGAAGTCTAAGGCTGGATTATGGATTTGGAATTTAAAACACAGTTGCTCTACCCTTCTTCTTTTCTAGGCTACTGGAACCAGGTTGGCTTTAATTGCACAGAATACAGCTAACCTTGGAACTGGTATTATCATATCATTTATTTATGGTTGGCAATTAACCCTTTTGCTGTTATTGGTGGTTCCAATTATTGCTGTATCCGGAATTGTTGAAATGAAAATGTTGGCTGGAAATGCCAAAAGAGATAAAAAAGAACTGGAAGCAGCTGGAAAGGTAGGTCAAATAAGATGTTAGTTAAATAAGAATTGTTTTTAGACAGTCTATTCAATTCAATTTATGTGAATTATTTAGCATGACTTGTATATTTTAAGGAGCTCTGGTGGTATAGTGGTAAGGTATTAGGATACTAACCAGAAGGTCATTCAAACCTACCAGCTGCTCTGTGGAAGGAAGATGAGGCTACCTTCTTCTATAAAGATTTACAACATTGGAGACCCAATGGGGTCACTGGAAGTCAGAATCAACTCAATGGCAGTGGGTTTGGTTTTAGTTTGGTGTATATATATTTAGTAATTAAATGTTTATGCTCACTACAACTAACAATTGTCAACACTATGCATGAAATAAGGAGCTCTGGTAGCATAGTGCCTAAGGCGCTTGACTGCTAACCAGAAGGCTGGCGGTTCAAACCCACCAGCCACTCCTCGGAAGGAAG